AACACATCGAAAATACAGTCATTAAAAGAAGTTTTTCTTAAGAAGATTTTTGCTGAGCAACGTGACTTCTTAAGGACAACCGAAGGACTAAACAACCTTTGATTTGGCTGTTTCCTCGGCACAAGTTTGATCTTAACTTGTTCAACAGAAATCGTAAAATACGAGCATTGAGTATTGGCTGTATGGACAACAGCCAGTTCATTACACTCCTTTTGGGCAAGATTGTATTGCTATTTAATGTAAGTAAATGATTCTTAATAATAATAATAATAACAACTTTATTTAATGAGGGTGGCACTAAATAGCGTACTACACTAATAAACTTGTGGCCCTCAAAATGATACATGTAATGCCTTAATACATGTAATACCTTTTGGTCCTATAGAAATGAACAATTTAGTTTTGGATTGAAAGTGTTGGTTTTCAAAATGAGAATCATTGCTCGATCAKTATAAACAAGTTCTCTTGACAGCATGTTTGAATCGACTGCTTATAGATTGTAAGTTGCTGGTTTATCTGGAAAAAATGTCTTTTTCAAAAAAGATTTTAAAATGGATATAATAAAGTGGTAATTATATATTATCTTTAAGATTTCAAATTCAATTCCTACAAAGGTGTTCGAGACTAATAATAAATAGTTCAAGTTTGTATGTTTGTTTTGGAACTTTCAAGATCTATATCTATATAATGAACAGAACATTACATGGGCACTTTTATCTTCTCGTGTTGAAAATATCTCTCTTGTTCCCTGCGCTCAGTGGTGAGAGATATTCTCAACACTCGAAGATTGAATTCGTACAGTGTATCTCCGTGTACCCATGAAATATCACCAAATATCCTCTGTTTAAAATATAATATATTATTTAATAATTTGTATTGAAAAAAATCTAGAACAAGTATTCCAGTCCAAAAGTTTATTTTGATTTTTTCTTTTATCTATGTTTTTTTGAGAGGTCGGATATATTTTTTTTCTCTATGGTCCACTGTTATTTGGTTTCATTTTTATTTTGCCTATTTCAATATTATTGTTTTATAATTTTCAAGTGTATATGACACAAAAACATTTTTAATGTTGAAAATGTGTAGTTTATTGATACTAATAAGAATATCATGGTGAAATTTGTTTCAAAAATGTATTTCTCTAGAAACTCAACAATTAAGAAAATTTAGCACAAGCTGTGACGTCATTTTTCTTTGACTCATACTATAGATTTACTTACCCTGGTGCAAATCCTAGCTGAGCAGGATACTGTTTAGGATCCTAAAGGATTCTAACCAAGATCTTGTACAGGATCCTGTTTAGGATAAAGGATCTTGAACAGGATCCTATAGGATCTTGAATAAGATCCTACAGGATCCTATGAATAGGATCCTATAGGACATTGACCAGGATCCTATAGGATCTTGGACAGGATCCTATAGGATTTTGGACAGGATTCTATAGAATTATATTCAAGATCCTACAGGATCCTATAGGATATTGAGCAGGATCCTACAAAAAATAGGATCTTGATTAGGATCTATGGGACCTTGAATAGGATTCTATAGGATCTTGAATAGGATCCTATAGGATCTTGAATAGGATCCTATAGGATCTTGAATAGGATCCTATAGGATCTTGAATAGGATTCTTTAGGATCTTGAATAGGATCCTATAGGATTTAGGAGAGAGGGGGTAAAGTGCGCACCGTCGGCTTTCATTGATAGTAGTCGAATTTCAAGAAGGTATATTTGTGTTGGGACTATGTAATGTCTACAACACATATTTTGCAGTTTATAAGTCTGCTATCTGTGGATGAAAATTGGATTTGAAAGAGTCGATTGAGAGATAAGACCATATGCATCTATGCATTATTGCTAGAGTATTGAAATAGCTTTAGTCTTTCTGTCCTGCAATTTAAATGATGTGGTTCAAATATCTCAACCCAATATTTTTTATATGGTTCAGGGTTCCTACATTTCATTTCCAAAACATTTGAGAGGAAATTAGGGATTTGAACTTTTAATTTTTATTATACATTGATACACAGCTTTCAGGAAGAGCATTTATTTTTAACGATGCAAATACCGTGTCTAAATAAAGTTAATTATTGTTATTGTTATTAGTAGTAGAGATGAATTCTTCAAGACTAACAATCTTTTTTTTTTTATGCAGCTCTTGCATTCTGCAGTTGAAAGCATAGAAAAGAAGATACTTTCTGGAGAGCAAGCTATCCTAACCATTTGCTGCAAGAACTTTGATTTAGTCAAACTTGAGTTTTCAAACACAGAGGAAGCTTTGAATGTTGCATCATCCATTGAAGACCTGTCAGTTATTGGTAAGTCCAACAAGGTCTTGTTTTTGAGTCCATTCTTTTGGTTTTAAAAATAGAAGATCATATGTGTTACTCAAATGATGTATTTCTTTCTTTGGTCTACACTACATTGCCGATTAAAACGGTTTTTTTGTTTGTTTAAGGCGGCGAAATATGGGACACAAATATCACAAAAATCATGCAACTTGTCGCGAAACGTTGTTAGGTTGCAAGTTGAAAATCATTGTTGCACGTTTTTCACCCCGGTTACATGTAGTCTCCTACGAAGACGCTAAGTAAGTATTTAGGGGAGAGAGCGTTTCGCGACGACACTAATTGCGGCTGCGTATGAGACTACATGTTAACCGTTGTATCGCTACCCGCTGTTTCAAAACTCTCATTGGATTTTGGTCTTTTCTGAACCGTTAATCATCTTGGATTTATGCAAACGAGTGTACGAACACAATCGCTTAGCGTCGTCCATCAATATGAAATGACTCTAATACATACTAAGGAGTTGTTTTAGGGTGGCTGACTACTTTGGCAAATAATAAACAGAGACTTTTTAACCTGAAATTTAATGCTGATTTCAAAAATGCAAAGAAAAATGAGGTGTCCCGAGCTTGTTTTTCAAATAATAATCACTGAGTGACATGCGTCTGTACAATTTTGGAAGAAAAATAGCGAAAATCAATATCTGTAAATAAAAAATCATAAAACCCAACATTGTTCTAATAAACAGAATTGTTTTAAACTTTGGAAGGCAATGGGATATTACCTGTCATCCCGGAAAATAACCAAAAAATTTTTGTGCGGAGTTTTGCCCTCTTTGAGTTCAAAACGAGTATCCCAACCCTCTATATGGTTCTTCAATAAAATCGTGAAGATTATTCAGTGCTTTTTGAGCGCGCGCACGTCGTGGGCACAAATCGAATGTTGAAAAGTAGTCTGACATCTGCCTGTCACGTATTCAAGCCATTCTCGTTGYTCATCCTCATAAAACTCAAAATATTGTACTGCAATATTTATCATGAGCAAAATGTTTTTAGCTGTAAAGCAATTCCAACGAATTCAGGAATTCCGAGGCTTTGGAAACTCACCGCTTATGACTTCTCACCTTTTCTGGTCTCTTCTTTTTGTCTCCCCGATTAGTAGGGCACTTGTGCCCGGCTAGAAGATTAGAGACATTAATAAAGTCATTATTATTATTATTATTATTATTCGCCTATATTCAACAAGCCTGAAGCGTGATGAGGTTTTACCCCCGTCTCTAGACAATAATCCTTTTCACACTGCTTTTGTTAAGGAATCAAAAATTTTAATATGAAAGAATTTAAAAAACTATTATGGTATAGAGTCGGGGGTGAAACGTCATCACGCGTCAGGCTTATTGATTGATCAGCCTTGACTTAACTTAAAAACTACTTTCCAATTCCAATCAATTCCTTGGAATACTCTCGAGTCATGTTTTTCGAGTCATTTTCGAAAAAATGTGCATTAGCCGAAGCTGAGCTATTGTGTTCGTAGACTCATTTGCATACACCCAAGATGATTGACGTGTTTTGAAACGGCCGGTCGCGATACACTGAACGGTTATCGCTGTAATGGTATTTTTTGCAATATTCTGTGAATGAGCTCTCACACGGTACTCTATTCAATGCACACGCTATTACCAACATTTTAATTCCCATATTCCAACACCAAAGGCCATTAAATGTTATTAATTATATTTAGTCACTGCCTAAAAGCGGTGCTCCCGATACGCAAGTCACAGGGAGCCCAATTTGAATGAATGTGGAAGTTAAAATTAAAACAGGTAAAAAAGACTTTATTCAATTTTATTCAATATTAAGATAATGTCTCCCACAATAAAAAAACATGCACTGAAAACGAATCAAAATGCACTACATCGCTTTCTTTTCGCGAGAATACTCTCTTGATCCCACTTATATGAATTTTGTAATCAACTCACCACCAACTCCCCCAGGGGCTAGTTTTTTCCTTGGAAGATTCTTCGACAAAGTTTTCCGTGGCCGACATTTTTTAAGCTTTGAATTCCTGATTAATTTTACTTATAAAACGAAAGAGAACTACAAATAATCCATTACAATATCAGGTTTAGTGAAATTTACCTCGGATGTCTTTCATTGAAATCGAAATTTTGGAGATTTCCGAACTTTTATGGACAAATCAAGACTATGAAACAGACTTGAAAACTGGT